TTTATAGTCATCTTAAAGAAAGTGTCGCTTGAAACTAGGAAGTGGATGTAATGGTGGGCCGAATCTATTAAGTTGATATTATTTTCTCTGTCTTTTTTTATAGATAAGGACAAGATATTGGATTCGCAGTGTAGAAAAATTAAAAATGTGGAGAAGAATCTTTTTTCTATCATTTTTATGGTATTTAGCTATAAAACTGATCACTTTATGTCTTTTGGACCATTGGTATATAGTTTGAGCACCATGAATGAAGATGTCCAATCTGTGCTGCTTGATCTAAGTATAGTATTTTCAGAATTCAGAATATTATGTTCATCTTTGATGACTTTCTCATCTTTGAACATCCAGATACTTCAATGTGATTGGATCAGATCCTGAGGGCAGATTAGGAGAGGCTCCAAGACCTGAACTGCGAGAACAAGGTCGAATTTCAGGTGCCTGCTTTGATGCAGCACGTGGTATTATTCCTGGCTTAAAGGTATACTGGTTTATTTTTTTTCCCTTCTTTATAAATGTCAAAAACTCAAAATCTATGGAATGTTTCCTTTCAAAACATTAGCACTGAGGTAATGCTATTTTGTACATTTCCAGGAACTGATAGAGGCATCTATATTACTAGATTCCTAATAATTGATATATAATTCAATAAATGTGTTCTCATTAAATACAACATCTTTTATTTTGCTAATGTAACAATTTTTATCGCAATCTTTGGGGTTTTCTTTTTAAAATCTACTAACTATTGAACTTGGAGAAGTCTTCTATATAGAAAGAAGGGAAAATGACAATTAAGGACCCCTTAAGGTCATTAATTTCAATTGAGGACCATAAAATATTGAAATCCTAATTGATGACCATGGTCCTCACTTAGAATTTAAGAAAAAAAAAAGTGAATCGTCTTAAATGTTCCTTAGGAAAAAATCACTAAGTGAAGTTAGTAAATTCTTTTTGTGTATTCCTACGTGACCTTAGAATGTTTCAAAGGTGAGTTTCTTTCGCACTAGAAAACAATCTATTCCCAAGTGTGATTCCTTGTTTTTCAATTGACATTAACAATATTCTCATATTATGATAGTGATTTTAGCAGTGTCATCTCCTTGTTTTTTAAGCTTAAACTATAGATAAATAAGTATGAAATTTGAGAAGTCGTTGAGTTCATATTCTTAAGTAAGCTAGTAATTTTCCAAGTCGCTTTTATATATTCATTAGTACCTTGGAATGTTTCATGAGTTTTTTTTTTTTATATTGGGAAACAACTTATTCCTAAATGTGGTTCCTTGTTTTTCTAACTGACATTAACAATCACCATAGTGATTTCAGCAGTGTTGTATATATTTTAATGTTTAATAGAGGGCGATTTTTTAAATTTATGTATGTTTTTTATTCCAAGTAAGTCCCGTGGCCCTTAATTGAAATTTTATATTTTATGATCCTTAATTGAAATTACTGACATTAGGGGATCCTTAATCGTCAATTTCCCTAGAAGGGAATGCATTTTTCTTCCTCTCTGACATTTGCAAAGCTATTTGAAAACCTACCCAAAGGATTTGATTGAGGTCAAATATATAATGATTGAATGCTTTCATGTGTTGTCATTGCATTTGTTGGCGGCTTGCAGGTTAGAGGAACGGATTATAAGACACCTGACGGAACTTGCGTTCGAGATTATATTGATGTAACTGACCTGGTTGATGCTCATGTGAAAGCTCTTGAAAAGGCTCAATCTGGTAAAGTCGGGATCTACAACGTTGGCACCGGAAGAGGTAGGTTGTGACTTTTTGAATGTAAATCTTTTAGTGTTTTAAAGTGTTCTTAGTAGTTGATCATCTTGGTCGCTGATAAGAACAGTTTCCTTCTATGATTAATTCCTCAGCATGCGATGAAAACTGAGTCAAGATGTTCTTAAGAATCCAAATTTGATTATTTCCATTCATACATTCGAAAAGAGAGTGACATATTTTTGAATTCCTTTTTTTTTGTTTTGAAGTTCGGAAAGAATACCAAAGTTATTAGTTGTTGTAGTCGTTGTTGTTATTATTAAATTAAAGTTAATATATTGTTTAAGTATAATTTAATGTAAAATTTAAGTAATAGATCAATTGGATGGACTGAATGTGTTCACAAATGCATGGACCAATCCATTAACATAGTTCTTGGATGGATTTGGATTAAACTAAAATTATTTTATTATATTTTAAAGGGGTAGTTCAAGTTTGACAAGCCCATTACAATCCATTCCAGAATTTGCTCAATCTTGTCATATGTCAGCCCTGTCCATTGTCTACTTACCCTTTATAGCCAGGTCTTAAGATTCTTTATCGTATCTCATTCATACATTTGTCTTACATTTATTATGGGGTTCTGTAAACCAGGTAGATCTGTTAAAGAGTTCGTGGAAGCTTGTAAAAAGGCTACCGGGGTGGACATTAAAGTTGAATATCTTTCCCGTCGTCCCGGCGATTACGCTGAAGTGTACAGTGACCCATCAAAGATATTGCGCGAACTGAATTGGACTGCGCGTTACACCAATCTTCAAGAGAGTTTGGGGATTGCATGGAGATGGCAGAAAGCTCACCGTGATGGTTATGGAACTTCATCTGCAGTTCTCTGAAACTCTCAGAGCTGCTTTGCACGCTTAACACTAATAGAGAACAGATCATCTGAAATCGAAGCGTTCGTGAAGTTTGAAGGGAAGCATTAGTACTGTACATGTGGTGTTGGTGCTTTCTATTCAACTTCACTAGCTTCACAGGTTTTCAGTATTAGAAGATTCAGATCCAACAGAACCTGAAGCATTTACATCCATCTCTTTTTGTTAAACGTGAGGCATTCTGGAAAATGAATTTTAGCTTTGGACCAATAAAGGCATGACCATGGATGATTAATACTTATAGAGCATAGTTCCACTGTTGAAGTCAGTCATCTTTCTCATGCTAGTGGAAGTGGGTAGAGTAGAATATCCCCCCTATTTTTCTTATTTACTGAGTTGTTATTGGGTTAGTATGGTTTTAGGGAGTATTAGTCGATTTGTTATATGTATCTACGACATGTTCAATAATATGAAATGTATGATGGCCGAGTTATGATATGACTCTCCTGTGTCATCTTTCTTCATGTTTGCGCTTATCATTCATCTCTCTTTTTAATTTTTTTTTTAAGATTATATATCTATATCATTTCTATGCCTTTATATCTGTGTGACCGTAAATATAGAAGATTCACATCAGAATGAAACAAAGAATCAAGTTTTCTTTAATGAGCATGTAAGTCAAAGAAAATTATTTTGTCATCTCTCTCTTTCTCACACACACACTCCCTCTTCCCCCCCCTCCCCTTTCTCTTTCTCTGTCTCAAATTATGAGATATTTTTAAATAAGATTTACAAAGTTTATTAAATATATTTTGTAATTTTATTTTTTTAAAATAAAAATATAAATTTTTAAAAATATTTTTTATTTAATATTTTATTGATAAAAGAACATTAAAGAGAGAAAACATATGTAAAGGGTATTATTGAAAAATTATCATTAACGAAATTTTAATTTTATTAAAGTGTCCTATATTGTAGGACGTTAAATTTTTTTAAAATATTTTATAATTTGAGACGGAAAGAGTATTATTATTTTATTATTAAAATATAGATAATCTAACATCAAATGTTTCTAATGAAAACCATTATTATCACTACCTAATGTCTAGCAATTGCAAGTGCTTTGCCATACCAATCGGCAAATTTGAGAGTTGTTTAAATGATGTTTTTCTTAGGATTTCTCCAATAGGTAGGGCCTCATGCAATAGCTTCCATATAAATATTAAAAAGCTTCATAGGAAGCTTTACCTTCCATACAAAAAAAAAAAAAAATTCTCCAAATAGGGTAGGGAGTTAGATTATTTGAAAAATAAAATCTCAGGCAAGAGTTAACAATCTTCCTTAAGCCAGCTTTACAGAGCAACTGCGATCATTTGATTCAATCCGAGCTAATTCATTCTCTTGAGAAGTAAGAGGCAATGGAAAAAAATCCATTTAAAGAATATCTGTTGAGTAGTTTTTTACAAGAAGTTTTGAAAATAAAAATATGAAAAAAATTAGTTTAAATCGTTATTATAAAAACATTTTAATTTAGTAAAATAAAGGGAGAATTGTTAATAAAGTTCCAAAATGATGAATTAATAACAATTAAGTTTTCAATAAATTTTTTATAAAATAATTATAAATATTAATTCAAAAAGTTATAAATATAAATCTAAATTGCAAACTAATTATTTACAATTATTTAGATAAATATTGACAATTGATATTTAATTTTTACTATTTTTTATGTTTAATTGTTATCCTCCCTAAAATGAAATGTGAAAGAATTATTTTTTAAAATTAAATTATATCAATATGAAATGATATGGTAAGATATAAAATATTGAATGAGTTAAATGATATTAGATTCCCTCCTTTGAGGGAATCCTCCACTGTCTCTTCGTTGAGAAACAGTGAAAATTTAAATAATTTAAATTTAATATTTTAAATTTTTAATAAATTTAATTATTAATTTGAACAGTTCATATTCAATATAAATGGTCTAAATTTAATATTAAAAATTTTATAAATTAATTATTTAAATATATTTTAAATAGTGAATATTTAATATTAAATTTTGAATATTCATATTATATTTGTACTGTTTGGAATGATGATAAAATTTATTAAAAGTTTTTCTAATTTTAATAAATTAATTATTTAAATATATTTTAAACAATGTAAATTTAATATTAAATTTTTTATAATTTTTAATATTAAGTTGGATTATATATATTAAATTTGAATTGTATAAATTTATGATCAAATTTATTAATTTTTTTAATAATTTTTTATAATTTAATAAATATAAAATGAAAAATAAATCATTAAATCAGTAGAGAGTTGAATGGCACAATGCCTTTGTTGTTTCTGTACGTGAATTTACCGCGTTCATTCATCTTGACTTAGCCTGCAGGGTCACTGCGCTTGACCTTTTTTTGGGCCAACTGTCTTTTTGGTTCTTCCCTCAAAATTCCTTCAATAGCATAGAGCCAACGACACCACTTGCTCCGTCCCTCAAATGGAGGATGCTGAAGGAGTCCTCAGCTTTGATTTTGAAGGCGGTCTCGACACTGCTCCCGCCAACCCAGCTGCGCCATCCGGACCTCTTGCCCCATCCGATTCTCCCGCTGTTGCCACCGCCGCAGCTAATGGTGTTACCCCCGGTGCTGCCGACCCTGCTACAAACAATATTCCTGGCCGCCGGAGCTTCCGGCAGACGGTGTGCCGGCACTGGCTTCGTGGACTCTGCATGAAGGGCGATGCCTGCGGCTTCTTACACCAGTATGACAAAGCGCGGATGCCCGTTTGCCGGTTTTTTAGATTATATGGGGAGTGTCGGGAGCAGGACTGCGTGTATAAGCACACAAACGAAGATATCAAGGAGTGTAACATGTATGTATGACTACCCAGTTTCTGTTAACCTAATACCCTGCGTAAACTCGATGTAATTTTCTTGGCCCCGGGATAGGATTGCGGGGTTATATGTTTTGTGCAATTTGTTCATGATTGTGAGTTTAAATTCTGATGGGTCAGCAAAAGTTCAAAGCTAGGTTAGTGGCTGCTGTCAATATGATAAGTCTTCTTTCCACAATCATTGCGCTCTTGCTGTTCAGACTGCTTGGGATGTTCCCTTAGGTGTCTTTCTCTGAGCTGTTGCTTTACTTTAGGGATTTGGGAGAAGAATGGTGGGAAGGATTCCGTGGAGTTGAGCAAATGTATGTGATGGTTTTGACTTTTGGTGCACTTGGTTGGAGGGACAAGTTTAAGTTCTTGAAAAGGTTTCTGTTTTTATGCAATATTGATACTGCATTATTTCTTGACAAATCTCTGCTAATAAAGTTATAGCAGGAAGGATTTATATTTTTGATGTGCTTCTCTCCTTTCTCTTTTCAATGGTATCGTGGAAGATGTCTTATTCTGCTGATCTGGTTTTACATTGTTGTTTTTATCTCTTCAATAAAGAATTTTTTATTTACTCAAAGAAGAAAAAATTGCATTCAATATGCCTGATTGAATGTTCTTTGCTTTGGATTGGACCATGAACTTGTATGTCAATGATTTTACTGTTACTGTCTCCGCAGGTACAAGTGGGGATTTTGCCCCAATGGTCCTGACTGCCGGTATAGGCATGCTAAAGTTCCTGGACCTCCCCCTCCTGTTGAGGAAGTGCTTCAAAAGATTCAGCATTTATATTCTTACAATTATGCAACCTCTAACAAATTTTTCCAACAAAGAGGTTCTGGCTATTCTCAACAAGCTGAAAAATCTCAGTTTCCACAAGGTCCTAATTCTGCAAACCAAGCTGTACCTGGAAAACCATTAGCAGCAGAGTCAGGCAATGCCCAGCAGCAGCAGCAACAGCCAATACAACAGTCTCAGCAGCAGGGTGGCCAGAGTCAAATACAAAACACTACTAATGGCCAGCCCAGTCAGGCAAACAGAACAGCAACACCTTTACCTCAAGGAATATCTAGGTGTGTTCAGAGACCTGTAGCTTTCAAATGGGCTGTATAAATTGGTTATCAGTCTGCTCATGCCAATAATTTATTCAAAGTTCTTGTTAAAGATTATTTGCTTGGAAGAATAATGTCACTAATCAGTTGTTGATAGTTTGCTCATAAAAGTACTGTTGCCCACTTGGCTCTCTATACATGTACTTATGGTGTGAGTTTTTGTTTTATTTATTTATTGTGTTGTAATAGCTTATGATTTAGATGACTGCTACATTTATCTATGATTTGTTGTTTGTACATTATGCATTTTCACATGGTAGAGCCTTGCTTTTCTTGGGCATGCGCATTTCTAGTGCCTTGCACCTTAGCGTTTTACAGGCCTTGCACCTTAAGTGTGCCATTTGCCTTTAACAACCTTGGACACAATTGGTTTGGTTTGCCACACACTATAGTTTTAATTTTAATGGTAAAAGCAGAAGTTACATCCTTTGGATTTCCTTTGAGAATTTCCAGCCTCAGTTAATTGTCCATTCTCTGGACAATAAGTTATTTTCGGTTTGTAAATATTAGCAGGTATTTTGTATCTTTTCATTTTTATTTTTGGCATATATTTACTGGTACATATTAAGGTCTTATTTAAATGTCTCCAGTTGTTTCTTTAAATAGGCTTTGGAGTTTTATTAAACAAGACTCTATTGCGCATATGTAATCCGTGCATTGGGCATAAGATCTCATGTGGGTGCTTTTGTTGGTCTTAGAAGCAACGAGATAATATATGTGCGTGCATACACAGACATAATTACATACAATCACACATATATAAATGTGTGTGTGTGTGTGTGAGTTAGGCTATGCAAAAGTTATTATTGTCCTCCCTTGCTATACCTGTTTGTGTCTTGTTGACCTTCTCCGTTGAATGTTAAAATTTGAAACAAAGGCCTATTATTCAAAGATGCAAGGGAGTCTGTTATAAATGAGTTGTGGCCTTTGTCTCAGTAGGCATGAAACACTATGTGGTAGCATTATATTGAATGAAATTGCATCTTTTTCTGCCATAGTAGATGATTTTGAGCCATTATTTCAGATTGACTAAGCAACTCTTTCATTTTTACTATTGCAAAGGATCATTTTTCAACCCAAAAGTTTAAAGTTATCAACTGAATCGTTGAAAGCTTTTGATTGGTTTTATTAGTATCTCTAAAATGCCCCCATTAAAAATGCAGATATCAAATTCGAATTTCTTTTATCTAATGAACCATAAGCAAAGAGACCACCATAGATACAACTTAGTTATGCTGGTATAATTCCAACTGCCTCTAACTATCATCTTCCCCTTTCTGTTATTTCCTTAGAAGCTATCCTCATAACTAACAGCTCACCAAATTCTTCTCGTCCTCAAGGAGTTGTTGATGAAGCACTAGTGTCAAAATCTGGGAATCACTCAGAAATGGCCTGGAATGGTTGCCAAATGACATCATCTGGTGCTGCATTTCTCCAATGGACTACTACTTGAGTCAGGGGTATAAACCCCTTCAAAATTTTCCAAGCTAGTATTTTCTCTGATTCCACCAAAAAGAGCCCATTACTGTCAAGCTCTTTTGCTGCTGGTTGGTCTGCCCCCACATTCTTTTTTTGTTTTTCTCTTTGTTGTATTTTTTGTATTTTTTGTTGGTGAATGATAGATTTCAATTTCCATTTAAAAAAATAACAAAAACACTCTTTGAATCTCCTCTTCTTGGCTTGTTATAAAATTCTAATCTGGGCCTTCTAGAGGTGAAATTTAACAAGCTGAATCACAACTTAGTGCTCTTTCAAGTTTCTGTCTTCAGAAGAATCCCTTTCTACGTACGGTAGAAGCATTGGTGGTGGCCTTCTACACATTGCCTTTGGAAAAACTCTCCCCATGGAGGATTGATAGGTCAAGTTATACCTTAATTATAGTCAACCGCATAAACCATTGCTTTGGTTAATTCCCCATCATGCACCTATGGTGACACGCCATGTGCTGGTTCAAGTTTTCTGTGTGGTCATTCGCTTGCAGGTGATAATTGAAGGAATAATGTAGGTATACCTTATGCAATTTGATCAATTTACACAAGAACTTACTACAAAAGATGGGGTCTTAGTTAGTGGTGATTGTGCAAGGTAACAAATGTTTTAGTTTCACGACATTATCTATGAAAACTCCCCCAACATCTGAAGTTGAGAAAGGGTGTTATAACCCACTAAAATGTGCAAGCTTTCATCAAGTGGTCTGCAACCACTAAAATTACTTCTTAAAGGATTTGGGAAGTCCTTCAATGTAATCAATTGCCAAATCTGTCCAAATTGTGGCTGGAATAGATGGTGGATGTGACAGTTCAGGTTGTGCTACTATTTCCCCTTAAATTATTGGCAAACTTGGCATCCTTGAGCATAATTCCTTGTATCTTTCTCCAAACCCTTCCAATAGAAAATTGTTGCCAGCCTTTTGCATGGAGAAGCCACCATCAAATGCCTGCCTATTGGGCTGTAGTGAAAGTCTCCTATCAATGAACTTTGCAACTTTGTGATGACTTCTATTGTTGACTAAGCTAGTCACCCAAGAGGGGGTGAATTGGAAATGAAGTTTGGAGAAAAAGAAGCTTGACACGAGAGATTTATATTGGTTTAGCCCAACCACTTAGCCTGTGTCTAATCCTCAACATCACACTTGAGAGTTTTCACTAAGATCACAAGTTTCAAAGAATGCTTGCTACCAAAGTACAGACACAAGATTGCACCAGTCTTGGTTTTAGTTTACAAACACTTACAAACCTTATAAACTATCAAACACTTAGAGAAAAATCTTTTCTAAGATTTTAGAATAAAGAATAAGCTTTCTAAAACGTAAACTCTCAAAAGAGTAGATAAAAATACTGTGGACAATTTGAAAGGGGAAATGTATATTCTTATACTTATTGAATAGTGTTACACAAGGGTATTTATACGTGAAACTAGGAGACAAAATAATAAAGACCAATAAACTCTAATAATGCCTATTAACTCCTAATAAATAGAAAATAATATTCACAACAATTACAATATCACCACACTCTCCCTTAAGTTGGATGATATATGCTAATCACATCTAACTTGTTTATACAACTTTCAAATTTAGGCTTATGTAACCCCTTCGTCAAAACATCTGTAGCTTGAAGATTGGTAGGCAAATAAATCAAACTAATGATTCCTTCTTCCACTTTCTCTTTTATGAAATGTCTATCCACTTCCACATGTTTATAGCTGCCTTATTGTCAAAATAGAGTTTTAATGGAAGGTCTACTTTGACATATATCTCTTCTAGAACTTGTTTTGGCCACAACTCTTCCATTACCCTTGAGCCAATGCTCTTAATTCAGACTTAGCACTACTTTTAGAAACAACTCTTTGCTTTTGATTCTTCTAGGTAACTAGGTTTTCCCACACAAAGGAACAATAACTGGCAGTTGATCTTCTATTAGGATGAGTTCCTTCCCAACTTGCATCCACTTTATGGTTCTCTGCTCTTGTTTTTGGAAGAATAACCCTCTATTAGGAGTACCTTTTCGATACTTCAAAATCTTGTAAGCTACTTCCATGTACTTCTTCTTTGGTTGAGATATGTATTGGCTAGCCACACCTATAGCAAAAGCAATATCCGGTCTTGTATGGGAGAGACAAATCCTTTTCTTTCTCATTGTCTTCTTCTTCGACTTCATCATTAGAATAGGTTTCTTCTTCTTTGGGGCCACAATAGGAGTTTCAACAGGCCTACAACCTAACATACCTATTTCCTTCAAGAGATCAAGTACATTCTTTCTCTAAGATACATAGATGTTCTTTGACCTTGCCACTTCCATGCCTAGAAAGTATTTTAAATTACCGAGGTCCTTTACCTTGAATTCTTTTCCTAGAGTAATCTTTATTCTTGTTATTTCCTCAAGGTAGTCTCTTGTGAGAATGATATTATGAACATGTACAATAGAGCTTCAGGAATGAGCCGATTGGCGTTTGACAAAGCTCCTTGTATCAGTAGTGAGACCCAGTGCTCACCCTTTTGCACACTCACGCACATCACAGTATGATGCCGAGGAGGCATCTCAAGCATTTTGAAAAAAATAGGAAATCCTAGGATTAGGGCTCTGATACCACGTGGACAATTTGAGAGGGGAAATGTATATTCTCATATTTACTATATGGTGCTACACAAGGGTATTTATATGTCAAACTAGGAGACGAAGTAATAAAGACTAATAAATTCTAATAATGCCTATTAGCTCCTACTAAATAGAAAATAATATTCACAATTATTACAATATCACCACAAATACAATGAAAATTTATAAACCAGTAAAAAAGAGCTTTTTGCAAATAATGAATGTAGTAGGTAAAATAATGAATGCAATTAGTCAATCTCTTATCCACCTACTTAAATGAGGTTTTATATATAGTGTGAGGATGATTAAAATCATTAGAGATCTCAATTAGCCGTTTGGAGTTGTTGCATTGTGTGCATAAGCATCGAAACTGAGTAAAAGTACTTTTTTTATGGAATGCATTAAATGCTTGTTAGGACCTAGAGACTTGTGTGGATTTGGTATTCCCTTGCGAGAATGAGTAGCTCATAAAGGCTTAAGGAAAGTTTAGACTAGAACAAGCATGGAAGTTATCCAAACAATGTGAGGATGAGTCAAGTAGAAGCACAAGCTTCTCTAGAACTCCAAAACTTGTGCGGATACAATTTGGATCCTTGTGAGGAATATATTCAAGAAATGTTAACATGTTAAAAACGTGTTTACATTCAAACCTCGTGAGTGTGGTTAAGACAAGTTTTGAACACTCATGATAACTTGAAATAGCTCAGATGTTGAAGGCTCAAATATTGGTAGACTTGAGTAAGACTAGATCTTGAATTAGCAGCCTAGCACTTGTGAGGATAAGAGGCTTTAGGAACTCAAGTTGCAAACAAGAACTCAATACTTGTGAGAGTGTGAACTTTAAGCTCACGACGATGAGAAGTTCTGAACCTTGGTTAACATTGATGCACTAAAATTTGTGTGGGTCATTACTAGACTAGACCTTGCATGTTTTGAGTGTTCAGAACCAAGTTCCCTTCCAATGCACCAAAACTTGCGCGGGCATTAAACCATGACCTTGTGAGTTCAAGTACTTTAGAAGTTCCTTCTTTGGAGTTCTAAACCTTAGGTGTTTTAGATTGAAACTTGTGCGGTTGAGCATCACAAAACTAAAAGGTGTTCTGGAACTCTAAAACTTGTGCGAGAATACTTAGAAGCTTGTGAGTATGAGATGCAACACTTAAATAACAATATAAGGCATTCTATTGAAACTCGCGTGGGCAAATAAGTCCCTTGCGAGGATGAGGTTAAGATCATGAAGTGCACAAAGGTATTTTCTTAGTTCAAAATCCATGAGCGTGTGTGTTGGCCTAAGACTTGTCTCTTAAAATGTTTTACCATGTTATGCAAATACAAGCTCTCATATTTTAAGGTTTTTAACAATTAAACTAAGCTTCTCATGTTCTTGATCTTCTACTCTCTAGAGTTAGTTTTGTTGTACTTAATTATATAATTTGCACAAAACAAGACCTTACTCAAGTTTTGTTATCATCAACACCTACCACTAATCTCCCCTTGTTATTAAGGTCTCAGTTAGCCTAGAATGCTTAGGGTAAGGATTGAGATAAAGTGCTTGCCAAACAAGATACATATGAAGTTCTCCATTATAGCCCTATGATGGGTACTATTGTCAAGATATTACTTGCAGTCCCTAATATAAACAAATGATAATCATCTTTAAACATAGTAAAAAGTTGACACACTTTTAAAGTGTGAAGGAACGTTGTAAAAAGTTGACATGCTTTTAAAGTTAGTAGGAGGGGTGTGTATATATGTATATATAGACTATACTTAACAAGTTTAAATGGAAAAAAATGTCGAAAATGGCGCACTAGGAAAACAAATGAACTGGGTAATTGAAGCCCAATGTCCAACTCCACAGTTTAATGTTTGCTCTTGAGGTTAATATATTTTGTTCTCTTAAACTTTACTTCCTATCACATCATCCTCTATTAATATCAATATCAAATTATTGCATCATAATCCTTTGTGATTAGAATTTCAGTTAGTGTCATCTGCAATGACTCTGGCCATCATGTTCGGGACTGGAAATTGAGTGCAAGGTCATGTTTTCAAGAAGGGATTATGTTCAGATTGTAAATAATAAACTTATAAAAATATTGCTTCAGTTGAAGACTGTTCTTTTACTTAAACGGGTTCACTAAAGTACTTTCAACCAAAATCTTAGGTATTTTATTGTTAAAAGTTGCAACCGTGAAAATTTGGAGCTATCTGTTCAACAAGGAGTATGGGCAACTCAAAGGAGCAATGAGGCTAAACTGAATGAAGCCTTTGACTCGGTGGAAAATGTGATATTGATTTTCTCAGTCAACAGAACTCGACATTTTCAGGTGAGTTTCAAAAGTTGCCTGTTCCCACTTGACTTCATCATGTTGTATCCATCTTGAGCAGCTTTATGATGTAGCATGTCTTGTGATTCCTTTTGTTGATTAGCAAGATGGGAAACTAGTAGATAGATCTAAAGTACTGGGGTATACCATGCTGTGAATGGTTCTGGACTAAGAAAGCCATCTCCAGCATGAGCATTGATAGATTCCCCCCTCCAACACTTCATAAATCATAACTATTACCTTTGAATTCCATGAGTAGTGTGTTTTGCCCTTCTAGCATTGTTCAATTGTTTTACATCAAATTTATGGCAGAGCGCTAAGGTGCAACTGTGGATTAGAATTCCTATGGATGATCTTCATTATGGTGTGTGTATGATATTTTCACCGTCTGTGTTTCTGTCTCTGTCTCTATCTGTCTGTCTGTCTGGCGCTCTCTCTCTCTTGTCAATGGAACATATCTGCCGAGACTATAAACATTTCGTTTCCAAAAAATGCTGTTTTTATCTGGATAATTCTAGAAAAATGCCACATGTCGAACTTGAATTCTAGTTGTTTATACTTCTGCCAAAGAAAAAGACCATTGGCATGACCATGCTTCTGATCGCCTTGCACTATGATTTCCCCCCCCTTCAAAAATAATGTTCTAAATCGATGATTTTGGAACATATTTTCAATTTAATGTATAACTAAAGTTGGAAGGATGTTTTATTTTCTCATCAAGATGGGTTCTTTTGTTTTCATCTCCCTTTAGGTTTTAACTCTGTCCCAGCCATGTCTTTGTGCCTAAGCTGATAAGTTAAATTTGTTTTGAAGTGTCAGTGTCAGACATGCCTTAATTTTAGTCTTTAAAGTAAAAACCTATGTTTTTTTTTTTTGAATGTTGAAAATATTTAACATATCGATCCATTTAGTGGTTTCTATTGGTGTTTAATAACCAAATTTTGTTCACGCTGCTGTGTTTATATAGAAGCATTGCAGGTAACTATTTCTATTAAGGTTAACAATATCAATATGTGACTTGATAAATTAGCCTTCGATTGCTTAAGATAACTACACCATGACATTGTGAGAGAGTGATGGGGTTCTCTAACTCAATATTATTTATAAACTGTATTTCTGCTCTTTCCTCTTCAGCAAAAGCTTGCTTCTATAACAATGATAGAATTAAAAAAACACCGGTAAAGGGAAAAGATGAAAAGGGAAAACATTCTCTGGCATTTGAGAGACCTGGCACTCTCCTATTCTCTAGCTTCCTCAGAATCCCCCTGCCTCTTACAACCTTCCTCACATTTATATTCCCTCAGCTTCTCTCTCTTTCCTCCTATTCTCTAGCATCTCATAGCTTCCGCACTACCTGACAAAGGTAGTAATGCTGGGTCATCCCCTGTTCTATCACTTCTCTGCCAGCTCACATCTCCCACTTCTTTGGGTATGTCTATTCTTTTTTACTTGGCCGCCTTAGCAATTAGCATCTCATTGGGACTGCTTCCCCTTCCTAGTGTATGCCTTACCTCATAGCTTCCACATGATAGATATTATGATCTTTAAGTTTGATGTTTCAGGAGGTTTGAAATAATAAATATGATTTCAGATAATTATTACTTTCACTGACGTCTTATGTAATTATTGTCTCTTGCTAATTTAATTTCGCACTTGAAAATGGAAATCTTTTTAACGTACCTAAAAGATTACTTTGATTGTTAATTGACATGTGATTTCTTCCTAAGATAATTATATGGTGACAATCATCACCTCTCATTTTAACATTATTAATGGGCTATAGAGCATCTATTCTTTAAGGAAGCTGAACCCTAACATCACTTTTTCTGTTTTTACATGGCTATGGCTTACAAAACAAACCTGAAGTTATCTGGATTTTTTTTTTTGGTTTGCAGGGTTGTGCAAAGATGACATCCAGAATAGGGGGCTCTGCTACTGGGGGAAACTGGAAATATGCACATGGAACTGCACATTATGGACGTAACTTCTCCGTCAAATGGTTAAAGGTTTGAGTCCTCTTTTGGCAACATAAATGAATTTTTTTTCCGATTGATGGCAGTGCACAAAAATATAGAGGCAAGCATCCTCTAGTATACCTAAAGCAATTTTCAAGGAGCAAATGGGAAACTAAAACTAGAAATTATAGTGTTGGAGAAGCCTTCCAATGATAACCTTTTTTTTATTTGTGTGTGGATAAAGTAGCAAATTTGGCTACAAACTATTTTTCGAGGAGCATCTGGTAGCCTAAACTATCAAATCGTGCAAAATAAATCATGAACTTTCCAAAAGGGAGCATCCAATAGTCTTCCGTTAACTTCAACTGATGGACGTTATGTGGGGCTCGCAATGACATGTGGCATGACACAGACACGACACATCAGCATGGTAAAAGTGCAAATTTAGCCACAAACTATTTTTCTGGGAGCGCTAGGTAACCTCTATTATAAAAAAAAAGACCATCCAACACCTTCCCCTTAATTTTGACCAAACATAATTTATTTTTGTACTTATGAGGCCCACAAAGCATTAATATCTCCAGTCTTCTTGCTTTCGTTCTCAATATAAGCTCCAGAAGAAGAGGTTCAATGAGTTCTTATTTGAAGACATTCAGCAAAACAACGCTAACGAAGTGAAAGAAATAATTCGTGACTAAATTAAGCTAGAATCAAGCTTCTTCTCATGCATAGCAAAATCAAGTTTCTGCTTCATTGACATCGTCCTTGTGAAGGTTTTTAGATAAGAACTCATTGAACCTCTTTTTCTGGAGCTTATATTGAGAACGAAGATAAGAAGATTGAAAATATTAATGCTTTGTGGGCCTCATAAGTATGAAAATAAATGATGTTTGGTCAAAATTGAGGGAAAGGTGTTGGATGGTCTTTTTTTTATGGTAGAGGCTACCCAGCGCTCCCAGAAAAATAGTTCGTGGCTAAATTTACACTTTTACTGTGCTGATGTGTTGTGCCACGTGTCATTGCGGCCCCACATAATGTCCGTTGGTTGAAGTTAACAGTGGGCTACTGGATGCTCTCTTTTTAAAAGTTCGTGATTTATTTTGCATCATTTGATAGTTTAGGCTACCAGATGCTCCTTGAAAAATAGTTTGTGGTCAAATTTGCCACTTTACCTTTTTTTTTTTTGGCCAAACTACATTGCAGCTTGGACTACTTGAAACAATCGGTTTGTCTTTTATTACTAACTGTTTCTTACATAACTTTTCCAGATATAAAAGTTTGTGCAGTGATGTCATCTCAAGTGAAATTTAAGGACTTGTAAAGCTGAAGTTAAACCTTTTTTTTTTTTTTGTGGGCACTGTTATTCTTGCATTTATATGATTCTTAAAGCTACTGGGGTGTTCAAATATTTTCTTTATCTTTCTCTTCTTTTGGGGAATATACAGTTACAGAGGAGGAAATCAGTGACGTTTTTTCTTTTTCGGAAAGGTTTCTTTGAGGAATATGCTATTAAGGGGCTTTATTGTCTTCATCTATGTATTTTCATCTTTTCCTATTATTTAGTAGGACTGTTTATTTATTTCTCTTCAATAGCTGCTTGCTTTTAAAATGATGGAAGGGAGTGAAGGACTCAGCCTCAAGTAAAGTGTTATTCAACGCAAAACCCTCCACATGGTATAAGTCTAATGGAGGAAGTTCCTGATTACAGTGAAAAAGAACAACCACAATCCCTGCACATTCGAGGGACACGGACTCTCCACAACAACTGGAATTTTCTTACCCCTTTCCCAACTGCATAGCCCTCCGAATAGCAACCTTCCCTCCTCTCCCCTTTAACAGACCTTTGCAAATTACCCCAAATACCCTTTTTAATCTGCTGGACCCTCTTCCCAATTTCAGGGCCTCCTATAATACATGAAACCATCCTTGAGGAGAAAAGAGGTAAACTGCTGCCGGATATCATATTCCTCTGAAGTGCTGTCATGAGTTGGGGGTTGTGACCATTTAATGAGTAATTCAACCTGACCATTAGTAAGGCGTCAGTGTTTCAAGACAGCTTTAGGTTGAACCTGCAACTCTGTAGTAGTAGTCTAACAAGGAAGGGACTGATGCACAGAAATAGCAGGAGAGGATGACTTTAATTGGCAGACATGAAAATAATTGTGAATCTTAGCATCAGGGGGCAACTGGAGTTTGTATGCAACTGATCCCTGTCATTGGGCCATTTGGCCAAAGAGAGTTGCCTGTAAGGCTGTAGCTTCAGAAATACTTTGTCACTAACAGCAAACTGAACATCACATGGCTCTGTCAGCATGAGACTTCATATACTGCTATTGACAAATAAGGCAGCCACATCTGTAGCATGGTAAGGGTGGTGAAGAGGTAAAAAGTGGGCAACTTTAGTGAGCCTATCCACCACCACTCAAATGGTGTCATCGTGCTGTGATTTTGGCAATCCAGAAATAAAGATAGAGGAAATGGCTTGATGGAGGAGGATCGATAGTACTAGTGAACAGGAGTGTCACTTCTACCTAGAAGGTTCTAGGCCTAAAGGAAGAAAACGAGAATATTGATTTTTTTTTGTTTCTGCAAATAAAGATGTTATGTGGTTGCACTATAGTTTAGCGAACCCTAGTATCAGGTACATGCAATTCTTGTTCTCAAATATTATCAATAAAAGTAACTCTTCTTTTCAATGTGATGCGTATCAAATGGCCAAACAGGTAGGGAGCTCCTACCATCCATAGCCATCCAAACCAACTTAACCATTTGCAGTCATTTGTATTGATATTTGAGGTCCATCTAGAATAACTGACCTTATCAAAGAAAACATGGTTTGTGACTTTTATAGATGATCACTAACTTGAGTCTTCTTGATGAAGGAGCTGTGTGTTGCAAATATTAAAAAACTTTTATTCCTTCATACAAGACCAATTTCAGACTTCCATAAATATCTTTATAAGTGACAATGCAAAAGAATATTTGAGCTTATTCTTTCAAAAATATGTTGAGGATTATGGGATTCGTCATCAAACGTCTTGGGTAAATACACCACAATAAAATGGTATGGTTGAGTGGAAAAATAAGCATCTTCTAGAAGTTGCAATGGTTGTTTTGTTAACCAATAACATTTCGATATATTGAGGAGATGCAGTTCTCATTGTAGCTTACTTGATACATATAATGTCTTCAAAAACCTTAAAATATACTCATTTGCAAAACTCTTTGAAGCCTTTCCTCTTTCTACTATGCCCCAAAGGGTTTTTGGGGGAGTTGTGCTTGTTCATTATGAGGGAGGTGGGAAATTGGACCCTTGATCAATGGAATGCATATTCCCTGGGTACTCACCTAACTAAGAAGGTATATGAGTGCTATTGTTCTAACACATGCAAGGTGTATGCAATTATGGATATTACACTATTTACCCATTTGGAGGGAGAACAAGGTAGATGAATGATTTTGAGCTATGGTGGATCCATTTGAATAATGATCATGTTGCACCCAAACTACTTTTGGACCTGGTAAGATTGAAAATGATACTATGAACAGTTCCAATACCTGTGACCGATCTGATTCTACCCCACACAGCCCTGAAACTGTCCTTGAGAGCAACCCTGAAAATGTTAGTGTAACTGAGACTAGGGTGGAGCAACCTAAAGAACAAAGGGTTGTAAGTGTACTCTAGAAGGAATGAAGAGGCTAATCAATACGTGTAGAGGTGGAAGTCCCAACCATTCTTGAGCAAGGCCAAGATTCCAATTTGGATCCAATTTCTGTATACATAGCATTAAGGATAGACGAACGACCTTGTACAAACACCCTATCAATTTGTTACTTATGAAAATGTGTCCACATCTGCAAACGATTACTGCTAATGTAAATAATGAGGAATTATCTGAACCTGTCTAGGAGGTGATTTTTGATTCCGTGTGGAGAGGGGCCATTAATGAAGACCTCAAGGCTTTAAGAGAGGAACCATAATTGGAAGATAATTGAGTTGCCAAAAGGGAAGTCTATAGCTAGGCATGAGTGGGTGCTTAGAAGTAAATACAATCCAGATGGTAATGTGAGTAGATACAAGGCAAGATTAGTTGTCATAGGATTCATTCATTCTCTATGTCTTGCAATCAAATATTGTCCTTGTGTCAAAAGGATGTGAAGTACCATTGGGATTTTGAAATGTAGGGATCTCAACAAAGGTGTGTAGATTGTACAAATCGTTGTATGATTTGATAACATCAGTCATGGCATGGTTTGAAAGGTTTGTACGAGTTGTGAACCAGTTGGGTTACTATTAATGCCAGGAAAACCACACTTTATTTTTTTAAGCATTGTAATGGGAAAATCTTATACTAATTGTATATGCCTAGCTGTAGAATTTGAGGCGAAGGACTTGGGTAACTAGAGATATTTTCTAGTTGTAGAAGTTGCTAGATCATGTAAGGGAGTCAGTTTGTCGCAACATAAGTACACATTATACTTGTTGAAGGAAATAGGTATGCCTGGAGCAAAGCTTGCAAAAAACACCTACGGAAACTACTTGTAAGCTTGACAATGTAAGAGATATCAGAGATTTGTAGGACAATTGGTATACTTTTTAATTAGTGTGGTAAGCTAGTCTATGAGAAAACCACAAGAAGAGCACATGGAGGTGGTTCATAAAATTCTAAGGTACTTGAAGATGACACTTGGAAAAGGATTGTTTGCCAAAGGATGATAGGAATGTCGAATTATATACAGATGCTGAATAGGTTGGATCAATCATTAATAGGAGATCCACTAGTAAGTATTGCACCTATGTGGAGGTTGAATATAAAGCATTGGTTCTAGGAACTTGTGCAGGAATGTGGATTAAAAAGGTTACTAAAGGAGTTGATGGTAAGGTCTCGATCAATGAAGGTGTGGTGTGATGATATGGACACCATTGGAATCGTAAAACATTCAATACACCATAATATGCCTAAGCATTTTATAATTAATAGTCACTTTATGAAACAAAAGATAGGTTAAGGCATTATTAATTTGGATTTTGTATCCTCAAGCTCTAAGCTGCAAGTTTGGTGAGTAAAGAACTCTTAAGAGTGTAATTTGAAGAGCTGAATAGCGAGCTGGGAATGATCAACACACATGCCTCAACTTGAGAGTGAAGCTTTGCAAGTATTTAGCCCAAACCAGGCCTAATATTGTATTTTTCAGAGGTCCAAATAAATCCCCCTGTTTCAATGCCATGATGCTCTGGCTTCCCGAGGGATGTTGTTGGTTTAATCTTGGTTTTTCCTGTTGATTTGTATCCTGATTTGTTTGATTTCTTCATCTCATAATTTCTGGCATTGAGCCACTGAGCTTCCTTTCCTGTATGTGTTTTCTTTGGCTTATGGGATATGAATGAAAATCGGAGCTTTTGTTGTAGTTTCACTATTTGTTTTGAACCTTTTTTTTTTTTTTGTGGTGGGGGGTTGTACATATTAGTCATAATGGGATTAATGTGCTTTTCATTATGTGCATGATTCTGTAAGCTTTGTTTAGATATTTAGTTGGTTATTTTGAAGTTCTTTCTCTTGGAATATGTATTGCGTTGAAATGACATTTAAAAAAAAAAACTTATTATTAATGAATCCTTTTCTTATATGCTAAGAGTTTGGTAGCGGACAACTTGGGTTCTTTAACTTTTGAAGTGTGGTTGAAATTTGTTTAGGAACTAGTGTTGAAGCTGCCCAATCATATCTTTAAATCTCATGTCAAGTAAATGATCTGTATAATTGCAATTTCTTGTCTGCAGTTGTGTGAATTGTCATTTCACAAGACTCGCCATTTAAGGAATCCATACAATGAGAACTTACCAGTAAAGGTATTATCTTTGCCAGTTCTATGATCTAATGTTATCTTTTCAATATTTGTTAGTTCAGAGGAATCTTTATAAATTTTATTTTATTTCCATATTTGGGTTTAATGTTAACAACCCCTATTGAAGTGAAACTCCTGGAGGAGTTTTTATCTGAGTTTGAGTTTACTTTTGTTAGGAGTCTTAGCTATCCTTCACTTCTATTGTTAGAAGCCCTAAGTTGATTTTGACTATTGAGAGGATATTGATTTAACAGTTTGGCATCTCAACACTTCGGAGTTGATAGATAACTGGAGTACTGGAGAGCCATCCTTCCGCCCTATAGTGAATTTACTTAAGAGGAGTTTTTATAAATTTTATTTTATTTCCATTTTTGGGTTTAATGTTAACAACCCCTATTGAAGTGAAACTCCTGGAGGAGTTTTCATCTGAGTTTGAGTTTACTTTTGTAATGAGTCTTAGCTATCCTTCACTTCTATTGGTAGAAGCCTTAAGTTGATTTTGACTGTTGAGAGGGTATTGATTTAACATTTTGGCATCTCAACACTCCAGAGTTGATATGTAACTGGAGTACTGGAGAGCCATCCTTTCGCCCTATAGTGAATTTACTTTAGAGGAATCTTTATAAATTTTATTTTATTTCCATGTTTGGGTTTAATTTTGAAAACCCCTATTGAAGTGGAACTCCTGGAGAATTTTTTATCCGAGCTTGAGTTTAATATTGTAAGGAGGCTTAGCTTACTTCTCTTGTTAGAAGGCCCACTATTGAGAGGATATCATTTAACTGCTTTGCATCTCAACACTTCAGAGTTGATATATAACTGGAGTACTGGAGAGTTATCCTTTGGCTTATTCAATTAGGTTCCTCTATGGTAAGACAATGTTGATTTCTGCTCATGCATGGTGTAGGGTTTTGGGCTGAAGACACTAAGTTCAATCATTAATCTTTTTAGCTTAGGTCCTTATTGCTTTCAAATTACTGGAAAGTGATATTGTTGATAACTAGACAACGAAAAATCTGTTTCCAGGGTACCTGACTTCTGATTTTTGCTGCTGCTCAATGAATGGAAGACATAAAAATTAGTAGTTTTAATGTATATAGAAATTAAGGTATTGAAAATTGGACCGGTCAAGCCAATGGGTTACGGGTTTGTGGTTTAACAGGAAGTCAACTCGGAGGGCAAACTAGTTATGATTAAAATAATACAATTTAAATAAAAAGACATTAATCATGAAAACATTCAACTCAATCCAAGATTAATCTCTAATACAAGAAACAAATACAACAATAAATATAGAATTACAACCACCCAAAAGTCTAACAACAATAACATACAACTTTCTAAATATTCATTCTTACAATTACAATTTACAATCCTTCAATCATTAAAAAGTCTAAAACTAATAATCACTAACACTAAAATCATCAACAATGACAATTATAAGTCATAAATGTTAAGGAACAATCAGGCAAATGAACAATAGCAAATAATGGAAGATTAAAACAATTAAGGCACAATTAACTTTGGAGAATATTGAATCTTCTAAGTTCGAACTTAAAAGTAAGGCCTTCTATTTGAAGTTCGAACCACAAATAGTGGAATCTGGTTTAATTGCCTTGCCTTGCCTTCCATTGTCTCGCTTTTTTAATTTTCAAGATGAATTTTTTACTTTTTATTTATTTTTTACAATTTTTTTTAAAATAAAACAAGAAAAAAAGTGACCCGGATGACCCAGCAACTTGGCTGGGTTATCCCAGGTCAGTTGGGTCACACTGGAAACCTAAATTGGGAAAGAGACTAAGTTACCAGTTCACGGGGTAAACTGGCCGGTCCGGTCCGAGTTTTCATGCAATGATAGAAATAAATAATTCTAAGAGAACAAGAGTAAGATTTTGAGACTAAAGCATTCAGTGAGATGATCTGTGTATTTGAGCAGTAACGTATATAGGTAGAGTTAGTTACTAACTAAACTCAATATATAATGCTACAAGGTGTCTACATGACTCCAGTACTTCAATATAGAATGCGACAAGGTGTCTACATGATTTAAATACTTGATTCCTGTTCCTTAATGATGACACTCAATAACATATACTTATGGACCCATGGCTATTGGGCTTAGGTTGCTAAAGGGCTGTGGCAAGAGAACAAAAACAAGAAGAGACTACGAGGGGCTGGCCATTGGAGAGAGAAAGGGAGTTGGATACCATGAGTGTCATTTGGGCCTTGAGTGTGGTGAGAATTGAATAAGTTTATTAAGTGGGTTTGGAGGTTTCTTGGGACGCTGGCAGATTATGGTTTTGTTAGGAAGAGTTCTGGTCTCCAACGCTTGGTTGGGGATGGAGGAAGGATTCTTCATCATTTTTTTTCAATTCCGTTTTCAGTGTGTTTTGTTGTTGGTGAGTTCTGAGTGGAGGAGTGTATTTCTTTCATTTCCAGCATCTTATTTCCAGTTAAGTGTGAGCTTATTTCTGCTGTAATTCTCTTCCTTCCAACTGAAGGAGGAGAGTGGGGTCCATTGTCGTGTAAAAGCATAAATAAAGAAAACTATATATGCTTGCGAGCAGAGAGCACAAATGTTCTTAATTTCCATTGAACAATTGCGATACAGCATGTACAGGTAGACAGTAACAATCTCTCCTAAATAATAGGATCTAATAAAGCTAAATATGATCTAATAAATTAATCCTATTTTGACTATTTACAAAAGGAAATAAATTGTTAGTACATTAATGAGGAATAGATAAGAATATTTCCTCACTCGCCCTCAAGTTATGTCAATCATATCCAACTTGCCCACAAATTCTTTGAACTTCTTTGAATAAGCCCTTTGTAAAGATGTTTGCAGTTTGTCTCTAAGTTGGCACATAGACAAGAGATATAAGCCCCCCTTCTATCTTCTCTATGATAAAGTGTTTATCTACTTCAACATGTCTGGTTTTATCATGTTGAACTGGATTATGAGTGATACATATAGTAGCCTTATTGCCAGTTTACAATTTCGTAGGTAATTCTATCTTCATCTTTAGTTCTTTTAGTACCCTTTTTACACAAATTTCTTCACACAGACCATGGGCAGTAGCTTTGTGCTCAGCCTCAGAGTTACTTCTAGCAACAACATTTCGTTTTTTTGCTTCTCCCAGTAACTAAGTTGCCTCAGACACAAGTGCCGTATCCTGAATTAGACCTCCTATCACCATGAGCACCAGCCAAATCCGCATTAATATAGATCTCCACACAATTCTTTTTATATTCTTATACAAGATACCTTTACCTGGAGTTCCTTTCTACCACCATAGGATCTTGTAGACAGCCTTAAGAAGTTTTTCCTTGGGTTAATGAGAATGTTGACTTGCTACACCAATTGCAAATGCAATGTTGGGTCTGGTGTGAGAAAGGTATGCAAGTTTCGTGACAAGTCATTGAGATATCTATCTTTATCAACATCCTTGCCTTCTTTTTCCTCTTCCTCTTCATCCTCACTTTCTTCTGTTCCCTTTGTACCATCCTTCTTCTTGTTGGATTTAACTTCAATAGGAGTTGCACTTGGTTTACATACCAAATAGCCTGCTTATGTGAGGGGATGAAGCACATATTTCCTTTGGGATTTATAAATCCCCCCTTTTGATCAAGCCACTTCCTTTCCTAAGAAGTATTTCATTTCTCCCAGATCTCTGACTTGGAATTCCCAGATCTCAATTTCTTCATTGTTATCCCTTGTGAGAACTATATCATCTACATACACAATATTGGTTCCCTTGTACTTGAAGAACATGGTATGGTCTATTCGACCTTGAGTATATCCTTCAATTTTTATTACCTGTGTAAACCTCTTGAACCATGCACGGGGAGACTATTTCAAAAGCATATAAGGATTTTTGTAGTTTGCATACTTGGTTTCACTTCTCTGTAGGAAAACCATGTGGAGGTGACATATACATTTCTTTTGAATCTCCATTCAAGAAGGAATTTTTTACATCTAACTGATGGAAGGGCCAATCAAGATTTGCTGCTAAAGAGATTAAAATTCTCACCATGTTGAGCTCAACCACTGGTGCAATTGTCTCTGTATAGTTTACGTAGATATGAGAATCCTTTTGTAGCAAGTCTAACCTTGTACCTATCAATTATGCCATCTGCCTTATACTTCATAGTGAACACCCAGTAACACCCTACACGTGTTTAAGCCTTGTACTTCAATCCACGTGCCATTCCTTCTGAGAGCTTCTGTTTCCTCCATGACAGCTTGCCTCACTAGACTGGTCAATCTTGGCACCAGCAATTTCCACCTCCAGTTCAGGATCTGTCACCAGTTTAGATTTATGTGTGTCAGGAATTTGTGGCCCACTCCTTGATTTCTTCCTTCTCGTGAAGAATTTAGTAGGGTCTCTGCTCTTTTGAGTATGTTTCTCCCCCTCAATAGGATTCTCTCTTGTTCTAGGCATAAATAAATTAGATGCAGGTGACTCTACAAGATCAGAACATACCCCAAAGTATTTTTCTGGAATAGATAGGAGTAGAGGATGTGGTGTGGGTATCTTTCATCGGCTGCAATTTCACTCACATTACCCCTTGAATTGATGCTTTGGGTAGAAAGGTGCATCTTCATGAGAAGTAACATCACAACTAACAAATTATATGTTGATAGACCTCAAGGGGTTTTTGGTATCGATAGGAAGAAAAAAGAGTAGTGTCCCCCCAGTAATAATGTGGCACATTGTGAGTAAACAAGAGAGCTTGGGCAACATCTAGGATATGATTTTTCCATTTAATAATACCATTATGTTGTGGACTATAGGTGCAGGTGCTTTTATGGACAAATGTCATTTTGTTGGAGGAAATTGCCCAAAGTCCTATTAAAATATTCAATGCCATTATTGATATGGAGGATTTGAGTTGTAATATGAAACTGGGTTTTTATCATATGATAGAAGTTGACAAATACACACGAAACCTCAATTTAATCTTTCAAAAGATAGGTCCAACAAGCATGAGTGTGATGATCAATAAATGTAATAAATCGTTGGTGAATTCAATTTTGAACACAGCTAGGTCCTTAAAGGTCACTTGGATAGTTGAGAAAGTTTTTGAAGGTTGATAAACATTTCTAGGAAAGGTAGTTCTTTGATGCTTTGCCAGCTCACAGTTCACAGACATTGCAATAAAATTTGGAGACATCTTTGTTTGAACATTTTGAAGGGAACATTTGACAAAAATACTGAGAGTTTTGATGACCAAAATGGTTATACCATAACAAAATACCACTATCCTTAGGAAGAGAAACTTTATTGCAAACACTACTATGCTTCATTGAAGCTTCATCAATGTAGAGAGACCATCAATCTCCTTAGCACCGCCAATAATCATCCACATGAACAGGTCCTGAAACAAGCAATAAGTGTCATAAACTGATAAAAGTTAGCATGGCATTGTTCAATCCGTGTCAACTTATGAACAGACAAGAAATTGCACTTCAAATTGGAAACATATAGTACAGAGTGGAGAATAAGGTTGTCAGAAATCTTAGTATCACCAATTCCAACCAGAGGGATTTAGAGGCATCAGCAATTTTGACTGAGAGCGCAATCACAAGGAGTATGGGTAGTGAATATGTCAATATTATCGGTCATGAGATCAGATGCTCTAGAATCAATAATCCACTTTTTCAATTCGCAGCTTGATTAATGATAATTCGCGTAGTTAGGTTACAATCATATTGGAGTATTTACACTTCTGTTTGTTAATTTAATTGCAGATAAGTAGAGATTGTCAAGAACTGGAGCCTTCTATTGGTGAGCAGTTGGCATCCTTGCTTTATCTTGAGCCAGATAGTGAACTTATGGTATGCTTGCGTTTTAGTTTTCATCTTGGTCTTCAGAAAAGAAAGTGTTTCTTTTTTTAAAGCAAAACAAATTCTATATGTAAAAGTAAAAAGATTAAACTACAATAGTGTTCGAGGACTAAGGTGAGAAGCTAAAATTTCAAAATAAATAGTTAAGTACAAGGGAAAGAAGAAAGATAACTTGCGAGGAAAAAAAGGGGGTGAAATTAATTGTGTTCTCATTGTTATGGTTTGATAAGTTGAGTGATATCAGATTGATGGATTTCCTTTCAATTCTAATTAGCCAGCCAGATATTAACCAATCACAAAACCCACCCACAAGCATAGAATGAATAAGTTGAATGGAAGCACGATAGGGGCAAACCAGTAAAAGAACGACAGATGAAGAAAGAAAAAAAAACAGAAATGTTTGCATTGCTTTCAAACAAGTATCCGGTATTACATTCCAATTTTCTAAGGGATAAATCCTGGCTCTTCATTTTTGAGTACAGGCTGCCTCACTTGCAGCAGAGTCTAAGAGAGAGGAAGAGAAGGCAAAGGGAGTGAATCCAGATAATGGAGGAGAAAATCCAGATATCGTTCCATTTGAGGACAATGAAGAGGAGGAAGAGGAGGAAAGTGATGAAGAGGAGGAAAGCTTTGGCCCAGGTGTTGGGCCAGCTTCTCAAGGCCGAGGTAGGGGCCGAGGTATGATGTGGCCTCCCCACATGCCTATGGGGCGTGGAGCCAGGCCTCTACCAGGAATGCAGGGTTTTCCCCCAGTAATGATGGGAGATGGATTATCCTATGGGCCAGTTACCCCTGATGGCTTTGGTATGCCAGATCTATTTGGTATGGGCCCTCGTGGTTTTGGTCCCTATGGTCCTAGGTTCTCTAATGATTTTGCAGGCCCCCCAGCAGCAATGATGTTTCGTGGGCGACCCTCACAACCCGGGATGTTTCCAGGTGGTGGGTTTGGGATGATGATGAATCCAGCACGTGCTCCATTTATGGGCGGAATGGGGGCTGCAGGTGCAAATCCACCAAGGACCGGTAGACCAGGTGGCATGCCTCCAATGTTCATGCCACCACCACAACATCAGAACACTAACCGAGTTGCTAGGAGAGACCAAAGAACAAATGATCGGAATGATAGGTATGGTCCAGGGCTAGAGAGCAAGGGTCCAGACATGATGAGTCAATCAGGTGGACTTGAAGACGACATGCAATATCAGCAAGGATTCAACTCAGCCCAGGAGGATCAGTATGCTGTTGGAAACCACCTCAGAAATGAGGAGAGTGAAAGTGAAGATGAGGCGCCTCGAAGGTCTAGACATGGCGAGGGGAAAAAGAGAAAGGGCGAAGTCTAGAAGATGTTTAACCCAGACTAATAAGTAGCATATGCTTTTCCCTGAACACAAGATCGAATTGCTGATTCTCTAACCTGCAGGAGACAACTATTCTTGCTTTAGGCTCGTTTTTTTTTTTTTTTTGCCCCCTGAATTCTTTTAACGAAATAAGACGATCAGATATTATGACCTCTTGTTTGCATGACGAAGGGACCTTGGGGTGCATCTGAAAATATTATTTTAAATTGTGTTTGCTAGTCATTAGTTGTTTTTTGATGTGAATATCTTTTATAGGACGTTTACTATTCATGTAACAGTATTGGAGTATCAGAATGATAATACATAGTCGAACCTGATGAATCCGTTACACCATGTGATTTGTAAAGGTACTTTATATTAATATTATAGTGCTCTGAAGAAACAGGCAATTTAAATTTACATTTTACACCCATGTCGTTAGTAGTTGTGCTTAATGTGTGCAAGTGGATGGTGGAACTATTGCATAAGAATATTTGATGCATGAATATATTAATTGGCCAGCTAGGTTGACTCATGATCTTAATTTTAATTTCTGGTCTCTCACTGACCTTTAATAGGGTGTTGATTTGATTTTTTTCATTTGAAGTTGATGTTAATTAAATTAATTAGTTAATTTTGCACTTTGAAAAGATTTAATGTTGAGGTTTAATTTATTATTGATATTATTTTGCATTTATGGAGCTGAGCTGCAATATTTTCCCGTCTACTGCTAGTTGACTGTAATTAAAAAGAACGTGCTCAAACTTTATAGTTACTTGTTCAAATCAAATTCTCACCTAATTAATTCTGTTATGATATTTCACAAAAAAATTTGGTAGTAAAAATTAAACCTCAACAATGAAGTGATTTACGGGTTCAGGTTTAATTAATTCTGTTAGGTTTTAGGGATTTACGGGTGCTAGGTCATATCTTCAGGATGAAAGAGCTGTTATAAAGGTATTTATATATTGCTTAACAATGAAGTGCTCACATTGCCAAACTTATAATCTTATGAATTGTGAACCAAATTTTTACTAATTATACCAACCTTTGTTGGTTAAAAAACATTGTTCTGACTATGCTAGTTTTGAAATCCTAAATTCAAATTAGGCTTTGTACTTCAATAACATTGCAATCCATTTATTGGGTGATCATTTATTATGTATATAAATATTAATTTCAAATATTTTACTATCACAATTTAATAGAAATTTTATTTTTATACACTTATACTATATAGTTTTCATTACTGGGTAAAACAATTTTTTTTTGCGCCAATGAACACTCACAGTACTCAATCAATGACTAAAATTTAATTTACTTTTTGCAAAATTTTAGTGCCTTTAATTTGTAAATCAAATGCACGATATACCTAAATTCTAGTATTATCCCATTGAAAACTCACATTACTCAATTGATAATTTCTTAGCTGAGAATTTTGATGGATCTATTATCATGTGCAAATCAAAACCAATTATGACCCTTTTATCTACTTTTATTACTCAGTACAGCACCGTTTTGCCCCCTTATGTACTTTTCATTATTTTATTTTTCAGTTGATTATTTATTATTTTATTTTTGTTTCTTCTATCCAATTGCCATTTAATTTGAAAATGTATTGTTTAAAAGTTGCTAAATTGATGCTAACGAAAGTTGGTCACGATGCTAAGTAGTTGGTAGGACACAGGTTCAAATTCTAGAATTGATGCTACATATAGTTTGTCAACATTTTTATAACTCGACATTCTCATCAAATATTATTTCAAAATGCATTAAACGATTTAATTTGATATAATATTTGTTTTCACAGCATATTCTTTGTCCCTACCTTTTTTGACCCTATCGCTTGCTATTTTGGAAAACTGAGAATATTATCACCTGCCGACTAATTTGAACTTCCACTGTGCGGGTCTATTTTTAAGACATTTTCACCTTTTCATAAGAATTAAAGAGGACTGAAAATACACTAATTCTGTATGAAAATTAACAATTTTTTGAAAAAAAATTACATATAAGTTCATGAAGTAAACTTATTTACAAATAAATCTCATGAAGTTCAGAAACCACAACTAGGTCCCTTGGACCTAAGTGTAATTTAAATTAAGATAAAAAAATAATAATGACTCTATTAAACATATATACATTAGATTAGTCAAATAATTTATAACTACTTCATCAAGATTTTACAACAACAACTTTTACTTTTTACAATTGTGACTTTACATATCTAATAATTAAATTGATCAGTTTAACTATTGAACATGTAAAGTTATGGTTGTGAAAAATTGAAGTTATAATTGTAAGATATTAATAAAATAATTGCAGAATAATTAATATTAAACTTTGTTAATAACATATGATTGTCTAACTATTAGATATGTAAAGTTACAGTTAAAAAAATTAAAATTAAAATTATAAATTGCTGATGAAGTAGTTGTAAATTAATTATTTGATTGATATAATATTTTAATAGGAGTATTATTATTTTTATAGCCTAATTTCAAATTACACTCAGGTCCTAAGAAACTTGACTGTAGTTTTCAAATTTTGTGAACTTATTGGTAAATAAATTTGCTCCGCAGGACGTATACATAGTTTCCCATTGTTTTTTCAAGTTTACCAATATTGAATGCAAAAGTGAGAAACCGATTAACCACATTAAAAAAAATGGAACAAATATACTAAATAAGTACAAAATAAAAAAATATGGGTAAGAAATAGTCCATTCGGTGTGGTTGTAAAAAGGATCAAAATTTTTGCTTTAAGATGCTTCACAAGGCTTGAGGATTTTTTTTTAAACAAAAAATCAAGACTGGATAATGCGAATGTGGATCATGTAATTTGAGTTATATGGTTTAAATTTAGGTTTTAAAAATTATTGAAATTTATAAGAGAAAAGATGTAGTTTGGTGGCTTTGCTTATATAGCCATAATGATAGTATGACAATAATTACAATATTTATAAATAATTTTTCTATTTATAATTTAGGGTAATGAAGTTTTTGTTGTTCATGAGATGTGTATGTTATTTTGTCCGTGACACTAATATGAATACTTGGATCGGATGGACGTGATACGTAGGATGTCAATTTTTAAAATTTTGGGAGGCACATACATGTACATGCGCGCACACAAGTGTGTTAATTCTATATATGCACGCGTGTGTGTGTGTAATCAACAAATTGTTTCATCAATATATTAATATATACTGAAAGATAATGACTTACAACCATGAATAACATCGACTCCAAGCTCATTTTATGAATAGTAACGGCTTCATGGCTTTCGATTCGGCTTATTCTTTCTCATACGTGTGTACTTCATGCTTCTTCACTTTAAAATCTCCCTCCTCTTTCTCATCCCAGTCATGCTATACATATTTGTTCCCTCTTTTTCCTCTATCCTGGTCGTGCAAGGAAATTCAATAATAGTTCTTTCATCTACATCATCATATGCGTCATCACTTGCCTCATCATCTAAAGTGGAATGTTAGAAAAGTTAATCTCAACAAAGATGGAAAAATTATCGCCTAAGAAAAAGATTCCTCGAGCTTGTAATTGTTCTACCTCTACATTTTTCAGTTGTGTAAGCACATGAGATGTAGGCTGAAAGATTGAAGGATCCTCTACATTGCTCCTTAAGTGCTCCCCTTTTCATTTAAGTGGGGCATGGAATCCTTAGATCTCATTGCCATTCATCACAGCAATGGAATCGCAGAGAAGAAGTAACCTCTCGCTTTTGACCATTAGCACAGTAGTTTACTCTTTCACTTCAAAGTATAAACATTTTCTCCCCACTAATCTTAATTCAAAATAGTTTTTTGGGAGAATGACATTTAAGATCCTCTCAAAAGAATTTATCACAATAAAGTATCAAATATTGTTGTGAAAAACACATATATATTGTTAAAAGTTGAGCCTTAACTTTTATTTTTTTATTATAATTTCCTTCAAAATTTAATAAGTTAAGATTCAACTATTAACAATAACATATAAGTGTATTTTCACAAGACAAACATAAATAAATAAACTGTGCTTTTGGTCTTCTCATCAATACTTTATACTGGTTTACAAAACGTCACATATTAGCTACCCCTGGCACCCAACCTCCAAATAACTTACAGTTACCCCCCAACAAAAAAAAAGCAAAGTATTCCTACGCCAAAAACTATATTATACACGACAATAGTGAAGATCCTAAATGTTTCGGTTTTGTCTGTTTCACTGGGAATTTTCAATCTGAGTTAAGGAACTTTCTTTGCATGCAAGACTTTGTTTAAATTCCTAAAATATCATACCTGAACTTTTACGGGCAAGCTGAATTACATATATCGAAACAAGATAAACTTGAACCAGCAAGTTTTTCCTCCCCCTGATTCTTTAATAACGCATATTTGTACTAGGTTCCGCTTATATCAGGCAAATAGTCTGCATCCATTAGGATGCATGTCATCTCTTTAATAACCTTATAAATCTCATGCGATTGATGATGATATGTATCACCCATATAGAAGAAGAAAACCTCTCGCTGAACCTCTATCCTGCTGTAACCAGGCTCCTTTGCCATCCCTGATTTCCTCATTATAGCCCTAACCTCCTCTACATTGTCCCACAGCCCCGAGTGCGCATATGCATTAGCCATGAGAACATGTTTTCCAGCATTTACAGGTTCTAATTCAAAGAATTTCTTTGACGCGACCTTTAACAAGTCCATGTCTCCATGAATCTTACAAGCCCCAATCAAAGCACCCCATACTGCAGCGTGTTCTTTAAAAGGTGAATTCAGGACAAATTCGTAAGCTTCTTTTAACTTCCCAGCACGCCCTAAAAGGTCAACCATTGTTGCATAATGCTGCCCTCGTGGCAGAATTTCATACTCTCTTGTCATTGATAGAAAATATTTCCATCCCTCATCAATCAAACCACCATGACTACAAGCAGACAAAACAGCAAGGAAAGTAACATAGTTTGGTCTAAAACCTTCTGATATCATTTTATGAAAAGCTTCTATAACTTCTAAAACCCTTCCATGCAGACCAAAACCAGATATTAGAGCAGTCCAAGTAATGGTATTTCTGCTTAAACACTTATTAAAAAGAAGCTGCCCATCACAGATACAACTGCATTTGAAATACATGTCAATAAGGGCACTGTTGACAACTACATTGTCCCTAATTTGACACTTGATCATCACAGCATGGGCTTGCTTCCCAGGTTCTAGTGCAGCCAAGGTTGCACAGGCTCTAAAAACTGATGCAAAGGTATACTGATCTGGTCTCATGCCAGACTGTCTCATCGAATAGAAAAATTCCAATCCCACTTCTACGAGGCCCTTTTGGATGTATCCAGCAATGATTGCATTCCATGAAACTAAGCTCTTCCCTGCCAAATTATTAAACAAAATGCTGGCAGTTTCTAGGTATCCTGATTTGACATATAATATCAACAATTTGATCTTTAAGTATTCATTTGGAACATATCCAACTACAATCATTTGTGCATGGATTCTTCTGGCTTTTTTGTATTCTTTCCTTGATATGCCTTCCTGCAGCAGAAGGGAATAGGTTCTTGAGTGCACTGCTAATCCTGTGCGACACAAAAGGCCAATGGCTTCTGCCAACCTTCCAGATATACACAGACCTTTTAAAACTTTATCTAAGTTGGGGCCGTTTTTGTGAGGCTTGACCTGTAAACTGGTAATATCTGCCCAGTGACGATCGCAAACATGGCCAAAGCAGAAGTTTTCCCACTCAGACAAGTAAATTACATGATATATATATTTAAAAAGGGCCACAATTACAAGATGGATTTGAATATCACATTTTTGAACTTTCAATAATTTTGCCTTTACGAAAACAAGGCATCTATTTACGGCAAGTTACATTAGAAAAACCATTTGTTAAATAGTAATCCTAAACTTCCCAAAAAAAAAAAAAAAAAAAGCCTACTTACCGCAAACCTCCCATTTGTGTGTATATAAGCATTACCCAAGATGTGCAAAGAGAATTCAAGCAAGAGAACACAATCATAAAATAAAATATGAAGATAATTGAAGCATATGTTTACCTGCCGTTATTATCCTTTATCTGAATTCCTTTGACGGAGAGCATCGGACCAACTATCGCGTGAATCTCACCCGACGGAGAAGCAGACGCCTCCATTTGCAAGTATCGATATTGAAATGAACAAATGAAGCTACATAGTGAAAGAGGAACCGAAGTTAGTTGGGGATGATTTAGAATGCGAACTGGATTATTGCAGAAGAGAGAATCAGGAGCCCACGAATTGAAAGCAGCGGTTTTGAGTTTAGGGAGATGAGAAAATAATACTGCAAATTCCAAGTTGTGCATGGACTTCATCATATACAAATACTGATATAGATACATTCGGCTTCGCGGATTTGAAACTTGCAAGGGGTTTTTCTTCGTAGGTAAAGCTTACGAATGAACCCAAGTGGAAAAATACAATGTTGGTGGCTTTTGCATGTTTTGGACTAATTAGAGTGCAGAGTGCACTGCCCAGAGCATGTTTTCCGTTCGCATTAAAAAAAAAAAAACAGTGCACTGCCCAGAGATTTGGTTTTCAGTAGAGCGCTGGTAACTCTTATGACGGAATAAATTCGAAAAATCTTAGACTCAAACTTGAGGTTTAAAAAAAAAAAATTACTTCAAAATTATTCAGGCTAGCTAAACAAATTTGAAGAAATCCGAACTAAGCTCACATACTCAAATTCTATTTTATTAATAATAAAATAAAATTAAAATAAGATAAAATTTTAAAATATTAATTTTTCAAAATAAAAATTGAAATTGACTAAAAAGAAAAGACAAAATAAAAATAATATTTAATAATTTAAATATTTAAACTAGTTTGTATTAGGGTTGACTATGGTTAGATAAACTTTTTTATCTGTTTGTTTTTTTTAAGGAAAAAAAAAAAAACGTTTTGACACATCCAATCATAGAAGCTTAGAGTGAGAAACTCTATCTTCTCTCCAGCTCCTTTAGAGAGAAGCTTCGGCTTCTGGTCCTCGGGTTTCCCAGGCTCTTCCCCTGTTCTTTGCACAATGATCTTCACAACCACCAACAATACACCAGCCAACAAGAACTTTCCTGCTTCAAAGGAGGAAGAGGATCTCATTAGCCACCAAAAAAAAAAAAAAAGCACTCAAACTGAAAGCTCCCACGACAGATCAGCACATGGATATTCAAACGGAAACAACAAGAGCAAATGGCAACAACCTCAATACTAGCACAGCAGATCAACCCTTCGGAATTTTAAGCAGAAATATCATAAGCAGAAACATAAAAAACCAGCAACAATAATCTGAACAATGAAATGAAAGCAATCGAAGCTTCAATCTCTTACAAAGACTGACTGATTGGATACAACGGATGCTTTGGGATTAGTGAAACTCATAATACTACCCATGTGGGTAAATTGCTTGTCGAAGAAATTGAAAAGGGAATGGTCCCCATCAGAAGAAACCAAAAACCTGATGGACTAGTGTCCTATGGCTCCTATAACTAATGAAGAATGGAAACAGATATGTCAACCATGGAAAGAGGCTTTGGTCATTACCACTCCAGGAATTAAACTCAACCCAAAATCTCTTAAACCCATGTTAACTAAGATGTCGAACTGATTCACAATTATTACATTGTTAGAGCTGATGACCCACAACACTGCAAAAGAATTTTTAATAGAGGACCATGAGTTATCTAGATCATTATATCCTCGTTCAAAAAGAGAACACTAAAAATGGACACCCACAACCTCAATGAATCCGAAAAAGAAGCAGGAAAGACCGAATGAGTGGCATAAGCTCGTATTGGAGGAAAGGTGGATCTCAAAAAGAAGCTTGTCCCCAGGCTATTGATTGGTGATCATCTACTATAATGTTGAGTATGAGAGCCTCAACTTAATGTTCTGTGGCTGCGGATATTACGGGCATAACAAAACCAATTGCCCCTATGACCCAAAAAATCTGCGGAAATATGAAGATAGGGAAGCCCAAAGCCACAGAGACGAAAATATTTAACCACCATCGAATGAAAACTAAAAATCGAAACCCACCACAGAAAATAAACAAAAACCAGTTCAAGCCATCAAATACGTCACCGGAAAAATCCCACGGTAATTCACCGGCGGAAGAATTTGGAGAATGGATGCTTGTCCACCGGCCACAACGCGCGCGCAATCCGAGGCCACTTCCAACGGATAAAATCCCTGACCTTCTTGCGGCAGATATGGCCGCTAGAATCATACGAACAGTGGATTACAGAAGCTTCCTAACCAGACTCGACAACAACACGTTCATCCTGAAAAATCTCGGAAGTGTAGGAGAAAGGATAGAGCTGAGCGCGCGAGAAGAAAATCACGATTCACGAAGCAAAAGCTTCGAGGGTCATTTAACTCAGAAAATGCAAAAACAAAAAACAATCAGCCCAAAATGATAATCACAAAGCCCAAGAGGAGATCACACCAACTTGTCAAAGGAAGCATCAGAAATTTGGGCTCAAACTATAGGCCCATCAGTTAAAAAAAAGATCAGATTTCTTTGTCACCCAATTGGGCCATATGGGACAACGAAAAGAAAAATTTCTCCGACAACCAGGAGGCTCCTAACTCAATTTGGAAAATGTTTCTCATAGAAATTTCTTTTTACACAGGTTCAAAAGCAACTAGCGTAAAAACTAGAAAGTGTTACCGGTAGTGTTGTAACTATGCAGCATGACTTATGAATTTAGGAAGAGCAAGAAGCTGTCAGAAATAAAATTCAACATGTGGGGGGCCAGACATATAAATATTAAAAATGTGTGGCCATTATTTAATTAAACTGAAATAAACTGATTTATTTAAATTAAATATTTAAAACTTTGGTGTAATTGTTATGGAATTAATATGTAGCGAATCAAGTAATATTTATAATATGTTGAGGGGTTAAATTATAAATATCGTAAATTTAAGTTTATAAATAAAAGTCATGGTCAGCCGGTAAGTTGAAATGTTCTCCATTTCTCTATTTGGAAACATTTGGAAATTCCTTTCGTCTGGAAAACACAATCTATTCAGAGACTTGCGCTTAGAGTCATGCTCGGAAGGGATAATAGACCCAGGAAGCATGCTAGGGGCTAATGAACCTTAGGTTTTGAGTTGTTTTAAAAAAAACCTCAAATCATAATGCCATTCAGACAGAATGTACGTGAACATAAAAATAAGCTCATATAATTTAACTTGGTCCTAATACAATAATACTTAAGACTTTTGAGTTTATTTTAGTTGACCTAAATTGAATTTTTTTTATATAAATTAATAACAAGTCAACCTAACCGTAGTTTCAGTGATGCCGTGAGTGAGAATTGCTTCAAGATTCAGAGTGAGAAAACAAGCACGAAGGAGGAGGAGAAAAAAAATGACCAGCGTGAGTGAGATCTAGGTGCGAAAATGAAGACAAACTGAGGAATGAGGTTATGAGGACAATAAAATACCAAAACATTGCATTTTAATCAGCATTAACCAAATTGCTGTTCATCTCTTTGATAGGACTTAAAAGCACAAACAACAAGAAATAGCTTTGTGGAGCTCCTCTCAACTTTCTATATTCTTTTCATCATTAAGTATCAATTAGAGTGGGAGTAGTCGAACCAAAAAAAAAAAAATGATGCTGGAGAAGAAACGATGTCAACGAAGAAAGCAGGACACTGGATCGACGAAGTAGAGAAAGGGTTCGAAAGTTTTGTACCTTCCTGGGTATGCCTCATATAGGATGATGATGAGATTGAGCTTACTCGATGCCTTCGGCTGATTGTGGGAAGAAATGGAGTGAGCCAAAGGGTTGCTGTAGTAGTGTGGGGTTTTTTCTTTATCTTTTTTAAAAATGACAATTAAGAACTCTACAAGACCAATAATTATAATTAGAGAATTGAATTATTGAAATTTCACTAATGGATCATGGTCCTTACTTAGAATTAAAAACATGCATGCATGGGTTTACAAATTACCCTTGAGTCTTGTTTGAAAAATCAAGAAAAGATAATGCTAAAATTACTATTATAGGTTGAGATTATTCTTAATCTTAGTTGGAAAAACTAAAATTTGCATGAATAAATTGTTTCTCAATATAAAACTAAAATTCAATTGTAAAACTTTTGAAAGACACTTGTAAATATCAATAGTCACTTAGAAATTTATCAAAGTTACTTCTGAATATGAAATCAATCACCTGTGAATTTTTATACTTGTCAAGGTATATGTAAACCACTTGAAAAATTAAGAAATGACATTATCAAAATTAGTATCATGAATTGGGACTATTGTTAACCTTAATTGAGAAAACCAAAATTCCAAGTGTTATGGATTAAAACTACTGAAATAACTATTATAGGTTGAGCCTATTATTAATCTCATTCCTAAGTGTGAATTCTGGTTTTTCCAATGAGATTAACAATAGTCCTAATGTAATGTCCTTCAACATTAATCACAAAGAACCACAATCCCAAAAGTCAATAATTTAATTAAAGAAGATACCAAGGGAGGATAGGATTAACCTTGATTATTTGAAAACTTCAAAAATTAATAAAGAGATACTTTTGAGCAAATGAGATGCCAAAATAAAAATATTTTAAATTTGAAGATAATAATATAAGGCTCTTGAAGACAATGAAGATTAGAGTACATAAAGTTACAAAAACTTGGAAAAGTAGTTGAGTGTTAAAAACCATTTAAAATAGGGTTTAAAAAGTCTTTTTCATAAAACTAAACTATCCGCCATATCCAAAGTCACATTTGTCATAGCTTGTAGTATAGAGGCTACTTGCTAAAACCAAACTCACCATCTGTCATGGCTGACACTTAAGGTATCATTTGCCATAGCTAACAAAGGCGTCCACCCCGACTAATAGATCATGACAGTGTAGAAAAGACAGCATGTAAAATCCAACTTTTGGGGCGTCTAACTTTCATCTCAAACCTTCAATTGAGGTGATCCAAGCATCAACACGCAGATAAAGAAGTAAACTAGCTAATAACACTAGCCTATCCATCATCCAGTAGTAAATGGGAAATCTAGACACCCATGATGATAGAAAAGAAGATATGTCTTACTACTCTAAATCCCTAAGTGTCTTTAACCCAAACATTAAGCCATTAGCCATAACAATACAATTGTTTATGCATGAATAATTAAACATATACACTATCTCATAATATGCATAACTACATATGATTAACATTAAACTCGCATCCATAAGCCTAAGCATTTTTGTTTCACTTCCTACGGCTTACCATCAACTAGGAGAATAGACTAGTCTACCCATATTCAAGCCACAATAACCCACACTTGTACCATTGGCCCATTTTAAAGCATTGTAAGACTAACAACAACAATTGCTAAGTCTACAAAATAGGCTTATATGCAAGTGACAATTAAATCTATACAAATGACCCCTAATGTTGGCAATAAACTATTAAATTACAATTAAGAAAATTATCTATAAACATTACAACATGCTAATTGTCTCTAGCTTCCTGCTTCCCCTTTGCTTCTCACTTGAATTTAAATGTCACTTAGAAAGTATTAAACCATAGGAGTGAGATTATATAATCTTAGTAATCAAGCACATGAACATGTGACACATAAAAGTTGTTTAAGCATACAATCACATTTAAAAATTTCATAGTTATTCAACATATATCTTAATGATATAAAAATATAAGTTCAAGATCACAAAACATGTGCAATAAATGATGATAATTATGTATGATCATGTTTCACTATTATTATTCTCCTTATATTTTCTGACTAAATCTATGAGCTATTAAATCATATAAGACTAACCTATATAACTGAATTAGCTTTACTCTCTAATTGTGAGGAGTGACCCAGCCAAGGCCTTATACTTACTCTCAAACCATAGAGTTCCCCATTCTGAACTCATGGGTGTCATTTTGCCCAGTCCAAGGTAATACCTAATCTAAAGTAATAATCAAGAACCAAAACACAAGGCCTCGTAGTGCTAATGAGTACCACGTGAATTTTCATAACACCCTACTCTCTCAAGTAAGCTCCCAATCATCCATAATCATGAAAATCCATGCAATGACAATTTTCATAGTTGTAATCATGCTCATAAATCTAGATAATAATTTTCTTGTTTATAGATTATAAATCCATAGTCACGTTTAATAAATCTCCTTTAACCACATTTTCATTATCATAATATGCTATGCAATCATGATCAACATTCATGCACAATGACATGTTATAGCCAAAGCCATACTTAACTCATATTTTAATCATCCTTATGCTTGGTCATATTAAATAAATTACATCCAATCACATCATTATTAACAATTCATGCTTAAACAACCAATATTGAACTCATTCAATCAAGTGATACATACTCATCCATTTATAAGTCATATCATAAACCCCAAGCCTTGTTCACATATCTATTTTCAATAGCATACCATAAAGCCATTCATTCACATACCATGATCAATCAAGCTCATACTTGTATATATAAATATATACTAGAATTTGACTATCAGTTACCTTAACTCTTGGTTTACTACAACAAGAGTATAAATTTAGATTTTGAGAAAGCTCACAAACATTCCACGGACTCCAAGAGGAGTTAATCTACAAATTTAGGATTAACAAACTTTATTAATGACTAATTGTCATTAATTAGCTCTTAATTGTGATTAAGGCCTAAGACCTTAATTAGAATTTTTGAGAATAAACAATCTCATTTTAAACTTGCATTAGCTTATTTAACCTCTATTAAACTTAATTAACATTGTTAAACTTTACCATTAGCTTTATCTAGGCTAAGTAGTATTAGGGTTATTCCTAAATCTGTCATTAACACTAATAATCCATGCCATTAATTAAAACCAATGATTGGCAACTAAGAACAACACTCTTAAACTCCATTAGGGTCATTAGAGTGGAGGAACATAGCTTTCATCTTCAGATAGCCCTTCCCAAGCCCAAAAACCTCTATGAAAAAGTGTAAAAAAAAGGGAAGAAGGAGGAAGAACACTTACCTTAGGTGTAAATAGCCTAAAATCACCTTCAAGCACCTCTAAAACTCAATCCCTAATAGAGCCGCACATCTTTCGTTGGTTTTCTCTCTCAAACTCTCTACTATTTTTTATCCGATATGCATTTTGTAGATTTTAAAATTCATCTCGCTTGCTGCGATGAGTTATGCCATTCATTATAGTGAATCACCAAAAATGTAAACTCTTACTTAAGACAATTAAATTGGGCCCAAGACAACCCAATAGCTCTTAAGCATAACATCTCAAAAATTTAACTCTTGACAATTAAATAAGTAAGCATAAATAAGTGAAAATTATGTGATATATGGTT